TTAAGTGGATAGTATTGAAAGTGTTTCATTTTACCCCTGTACATTGTGCGTTTTTGCAAACATGCAATAGGTTGCAGTGTTGCCAATTGATCAGCAGCGATACATACTAACACACAATATTTTGTATTCATGCTAACAATACCAGCAAATAATAAAACAGAGCAAAAGAAAAAGATTCACTAAAATAGTCGCAATTATAATAGCCAGTTTATTTATTCCGTTCTGTCAGCAGAACATTGACACCCACATAGTTCCTAACTTTATAGGGTTTAATAGTGTGCTGTGAAGTTTTACCACACATTAAATATTAGTTAAATATTAAGAACAAGTTGAGAACTTAGACAAATCACAATCTAAATCTTAAGTGGAAATTCTCCCTGTTCCAAAGAATCTGATTTTTTGACTTCTACAACATGAACATCAAAATTTATTTCCTAGAGTTTTTTTACGGTAGCTGTAATTGAGAACTCTGTTTTCGTTAACTTCACAGCTTTAGATGTAAGAGATCTTCTTTGGAAACCACAACTATGAAATTTCAATGATATGGTGCTTTTTCCTTTTCCATATCATGTGTGTGAAAAGATTCACGAAAAATTTTGGTCCATCAGAAACGACGCGACACAAGTCCAGATGACGCTATAACGTCACTAACAAAGCGTTTTAAGCTAAATCCAGACTATCTCCTTCAACACCAGCTGGTCCTTTGCAAAGTTTTATTAGGTAATCGCCATAGTAATTTACTCACCAGTTTTTCATCTTCATATTTTTTCAGGAAATGTTTGATATTAATCGAAAGAGAAATTGATACTCAATTTCCGTTTATATCCAGTTTGTATAAAGAAAACAAAACTATCAAATGGAGTTATGTTCAGTATTTTAACAAGAACCTTCTAATGTACAGACATACTATATTAAAGCATGGTGAGCTTCATAGAAAGGGCATTACTGTCTTACAATAATACAATAAATATACTAAAAATACTCGATGGCTGTTTATCATGAACATAACTTTATACAAAAATATCCAAAGAACCAACTAAAATAAATGATAAAGACAAAGTAAATGTGGCATATCTGTCAAAACGCATCTTGTTAATATGAAACAACTTAAATTAAAATTTATAGGTGTTAAAGCATTCTGTAAATGCTGTTTGCGGTTTGGTTATATTGTATACAGATTAGTTGTGATCAGATTAAAGGTGTGCAATCTCTACTAAGTTTACGAAAAAATTCCCGACCCACAGTACAAATAATGTTTCGAAAGTTTACTCTGAAAAGGTTTGTTTGTTTGTTGAATTTCGCGCAAAGTTACATGAGAGCTATCTACGCTAGCCGCCACTAATTTTGAAGTAATAGACTAATGGGAAGGCAACTAGTTAACAGCACCCGTCCCTAAGTCTTGGGCTACTATACTCGAATAGTGGAATTTGATCGTCACTCTTATAACGCACTCACTACCACCCGAAGTACAAAGCGCGAGCTCAGAAAAGGAATGCTTCAACGTAGTTGATATTTCGATGGCACTCTGCTAGTTTAATTTATTTAATTATTTTAACTATTACATTATTAATATACTGCTACCTGGAACAAAAACATAAGTTTAACTTTAAGATATTATTTGTAATTCTTACTAATATAAAACATTGTATTTGGCCAAAAATAGCTTGAAAATAAACCACATTTTAGATTGGGTTAAAAAGTTACATTTTATATAGAAAAATATACAGCTTATCTTAAAAGGCAGTTGTGTAAAGCTCTGAGTAAATAATGCAACAACATATTATTAAGTAATTAAATTTGTTTTGTTTGGTTGTTTGTTATTAAGCACAAAGCTATACAATTGGTTATATGTGCTATGCCCATCGCGAGTATCGAAACCCGATTTTTAGCGTTATAAGCCCTTAAAGCTGGACAACCAAAGTGCCAATAATTAAATCCATGACATTATAAGCGACTCTTTTTCCCTGTAATAAAGCTGCAAACAACTTTAAAACCTTACGTTAAGAGCCATGGCGTTTATTATGCACACACGTTAAAAAACATCACACGGTAACACAGCAACATACCAGATTCGGATATTATTATTGGAATAAAATTATTACCAAAATTAGTTTAATATCAGAAAATGCATAAATCACCCCATTAATACAGATGTAAAACTATAATTAACGATTTATCCACTTCAACTGATAGTAGACTTAACAATATTAATAAGCATACAAACAAATGCTATAAATACAGGTTAGTTATTGATAAAATATGAAAAAATTTTGGACATGTTAATATCTTAAAACTTCTGATAAAATAATGCTTCGTAAGATGAATGAATGCTTCTATAATAATACTCATCGCAAACGTTTTAATAAAATATACATTTTTAATTATTAAATTATATATTTCCAAATACATTTGTTAAAAAAGCTGTTTAACTGCATTTATACACAGCGCATACATTTTTTTTTTTGGTTCGCTGTAATTTGTTACCATTATAAAATTTCCTAAACAGAACTCAAATAGTCACGTGTGTTCTTCATAAACTAAGTTACATTAAAAACATTTTACAAATTAACGCTATGTAATTGCTAGTTTTACAAAATACCATTAGTTAATCAAAACTGTCCTGCTAGGATTATTATATCTTGGATAAAATATAGATCATATCTTCTATCTTTAGTTTGTAAGTACATAATCAATACCGCTGTATTCGTACTGCAATTGAAAAAGTCTTGAGATCCTGAAAAATTGTTTATTTTGCGAACGTTTCGGGTTATGCCTTCTTCTAGGTAAAGAATACTTATTACACAGCTTATGACATAAAACGCTCTACCCCAAAGAAGGCGTAAGCAGAAACGTTCATATTTCTCGAACGCAAGTCGTTTTCAACATGTAGAATAAAATAAAGGACTGATTGATTATATCGGGTTATCATTTGTACTAATACATTGTGAATGCTATCCTACAGTCTTTCTCAAATTTAACGACTTAATTAAATTAGTCACGCTAGGAATATTACGAGGTTTTACTTTTGATATTGCATCAATCTTTCGGCGAATTTATTACTTTAAAATGTTTTGCGGTGAATACAATTTAAAACAAGATTTAAGCGTTGGATTTTCTACACTTCCGGTATCCCCATACCGTGATAACACTTCCGGTATTCCTATCCCTTAACAACACTTCCGGCATCCCTATCCCTTAACAACACTTCTGGCTACCCATCCCTTGACAAAAACAACTATGTGTAGGATATCATTAATTAATCTCTTCTGTCTTTGCCTCTTGTTGCAAAAAAAAGATACACAGACACTAGACTTGTTTGAGAATGGTGGCGAACAAGACATCAATGATTCTTTTATTTATATAAACATTTTAGGAGCAGTATTTTTAGTTGTTGCTTACCATTGTTTGGATATTTTGTACAGATAATTACAAATATTTGTAGCATATTTATACGAAGATAAAAAATATACCCCTGCTAGAAATGTGTGTGTGTGTATACAAGATCTAGTACAAAATAACCGTATATCAAGTGAGCTAATGCTGTTGTTGTTTTTAACTCTAGGTTTGGAGACACTGCTAATACAATTGTGTTGATCTTTAACAGCTTCAAGTTTATGAAAGTTAATAGCGAATATCCAATATATACGTGTGTGTACGTGAATGCATGCATAATGGCGTATGGGATATTCACGTTTCTTGTAAATACAACCACATGTGATTACTCTAGATATTTTAATATATATATATATATATATATATTAA